CCCTACATGTAAAATGTGAAAAATGAAGCTGAAGCACTTTGAGATACTCTGTAGGTGGAGTCTGCAGTGTTACATACACTGACCCATGGTCCCAGCAGTTGGTAACTAGAGTTTCTCTTCCTCCTCAGGCTGTGAAAAATGGTCTCAAAACCACATGCAAGTGTCATGGTGTCTCAGGTTCCTGCGCTGTGCGAACCTGCTGGAAGCAGCTCTCTCCATTCCATGAGACTGGCAAGCTACTCAAGCTTCGCTATGATGATGCTATCAAGGTCTTTAGTGCCACCAATGATGCTGTGGGGCATTCTGAACTCGTGGGGCCACAGAAACATGGCCACTCCTCCAAAAACCCTACTTCTCCACGCCCGACTGACTTGGTGTATGTGGAGGACTCACCTAGCTTCTGTCGGCCCAGCAAGTACTCACTGGGCACTGCTGGAAGGACATGCTCTCGGGAGGCCAACTGTGACAGCATGTGCTGTGGACGTGGCTACAATACTCAGAGTCGTATGGTCACCTTCTCCTGCCACTGCCAGGTGCAGTGGTGCTGCTATGTGGAGTGTCAACAGTGTATGCAGGAAGAGGTTGTTTATAGCTGCAAGCAATAATGTCAGGTGTTATCAGGCCAGGAAAGGAGAGGTATACAAATGAAAGGTAATAATGAGGCAGAGGCAGGCACAGCTTCCTGCAAGGCACTTGGTATTAGCTCCTGCTCTCTCCATGCTGAGAATCCCTGACACATGGTGTACTGGATAGCTCCATCTATGAGGGATGCAGTATCAGAAGCTGTGTCAGGTAGAGATGAGGAAGGAAGGCAGAGAGGCTGGGGAAAAATGAATTGTAAGACTTCAGGGATACTGAAGCAATAAGGGTCCCTTTTTAAATTAAACCTTGTTCTCGACGGGAGCTGCATGAATACTGCTCCCTACATTTTGTATATAAATGCATTAGGGAGGCTAACCATAAAGGCTCAGGGGCCTTGGCACTGAAAGGTAGCAAGGAAGAAAGGCAGTAAGTGGACCAGGTAGCGGACGCAGATATAATTGGAACGTCAAGGTTGCTGAACTGAGACAAAATGACGCTGGTAAAAGGAGGGGGGGTTTAATATGCTACTCCCTGGGAACTAGCTGGGTTCTCTCTGCTCTGGATTCTAGTCATGCGCTGATGAGTTCCCTCATCTTGGTGTCACAGACAAACTCTGAGTTATAGTCAGCTAACTATTTCTAAGTTTGCGTGCACATTTTAGTAATAAACGTGGATGTGCATGCACACCCACTGTAGCAGTAAACAAAAAGGTTCAAGGTGGAAATGACTACCAGGCAATCTCTGCCTTTGAGTGACGATATGAAATATGAAGCACCATGTACTAGTATGCCCAATGTCTTCTGCACCTCTGCAGGAGCAAACACTGGAGCAGGGCTGTTCTCTGCCTTTCATGCTGTGTCCTGCTGTGGATGCTGATCTGAACATCTCTTATCTCCTAAATAGCCAGCCATGGCCATATACTCCAAACTGGTACTACCAAGGTGCATGGTACTTTCTTCAACATGCACTTTAGCCTTTGGCAGATCAGGTGCAAGACTGCAGAGCTTAAACAAAGACACTGGGCACGTCCTACAAGATCACAGCCTCTTCCATTGACTTGATTTGGGGGGGACAGGACACTTGTCAGTATTTCAGTGGTGCAGTTTAAACCTGCTAGTACTTCTAAGCCCTTGCAGGAAGCCTCTTCCACAGATGGAGCTGGATAAGTGGCTCAGTTAGCATTTGTGTCTTTAAAAGGTACAAAAGAGAAGGCAGTTTTTGTTACTAGATCAATGCCCTTATACCAGTGGTATCACAGTGTATAAGAGGGACTGCTTTGCAAATTCAGTAGCTATTATGTTTGTCCAAGGCATGCACAAATAAATGACTCCAGCCACAAGTGTGAGAGAGTGCTACCAGACTGGTAGACACAGAATATGTTGTAAATATAAAGTAAAACTCTATGCATCAGCATTAGCAGATTTAACAGAAGGTAATTTAAGATTCATGCATACAGATTCAATGCATTCACAGATCTCACAATAGCTATCTAGCAAGAGCCAGAAGAATACTCTGCTCCCTCAGCTAGACACTCAGGGTTGCTGACTTTTTGGTTAAACCCACTTACCCTATGCTGTGCTCACAGGCATGACTGCTTGCTGGCAGATACTGAAGGAAGTCAGTTGGGAGAAGTATGGGTGCTGCTGACTGTTGTCCAGCCCTCTGAATGAATGGGGGAACAGTGAGGAGCCAGACTCTCATTTGAGGCTGTCACAGCTTTTTCCAAAGAGTGCTCAAGCTTTGTGACATGATGGAAGATGGAAATGCTTTAACCTATGGTAAAACATGAGGGGTGAAATGAGCTCACTGGAATCTACCGTAAGCTGCCAAATGCAAGAAGAGCCTTTATCTTATTCTCCCACACCTGCACCATGTATGGGTGACAGTATTAGAGATATTTGCCTCTCACAAATCTTCATTGTGGGGTATGAACCTGGCTTATGGACTAAAAGCTGAATTGGACCCTGGGATCTGAACTGGGCAGTGTTTGTGGGCAGCTGAATTCTCTTCAAAAACTGGTGAGGCCATGTATGTGATTCCAAGCCTTGAATAGACCCTGAGCCTGAACTTCTAACGTACCCTTGATCTGGGTCCTAACAAGGTGGTAGAATATTCATGCAACCACTAGTTCCCTTTCAGCTCACTGGCTTTGAGATTGTAAATTCAGCACATACTCTGTTTGTTTGGACTGGGTCCTGCTTTTAAAAAAAGTTGAAGTCAACTGGCTCAAAGCAGATCTTGGTCTTTATTAATTGATAGTTGGAATTCACTGTGATTCTTCTGGCAACCTACAGTTCTCATAATGGATTTATCCCTTTCATCCCATAATCTGGCTCATGATGACTTAAAGTGTAAATGCTATCAAAGTGCTTATGACAGACATGTTAGAGCCAATCGGGGATAATTAGTCTTAATTTTTTTACCACCCTAAATACCTCAGGAATTAGTAATGAGTAGACCATTAATTATGTGTTAGTGCTGATCCTTTAAGAGTTTAAGGCTTCCCACAAATCTGAGTACCAAGCAGTGGGTAAAAACTAGGAAGCAATAGCAGCTGCTTACCATGAAGGGTTAAAATTGCCTGTAATGGATATACTGCTCTGCCTTGTGCCATGGTACCAATCTGCCCCTGCACTGATGGCATGTACAGACCTGAGTACCTATAATGAATATGGCATTTCCATATGCTTCAATGGGGGCAACATGGCACTGCAGCTTTGACAGCTCTTATGCATTTATCATATGTAGTGTGATCTTTGGATCCTGCTGCAGGCAGTCAGTTTGTTTCAAAATTGTGAAATTTTTCTCATGCAATTCTTTTGTGGAAAACAAAACCAGGAGGAGGAAATGATGTCACAATGTCCTGAGGCCTTGCGGAAAGTGCATGAACTGAGCAATCGGGAGCTCTAGTCCTGGCTCGTCCATTGACTGCTGCTCTAACACTTCTGTTCACTTCACAACTCATCCTGCAAACCAAGGTCTTAGGCAAGTATCATTCACTTGCTTGATGGATCAGATAGCAGAGTTTGTATATGGTCTCTACAGAACAGTAAGGTTCCAGTAACAAAGTCAAGTCTCTTGCTTTGCCAAAAAAGTCTTTTCAGAAGGAAAATTGCTTCTGTTACTCCCTGCTGACACAGTGTGGCTCAGTGTTATGCTGGAGCAGCTGGACCCCCAGAGAAGTTATGGCTTTGATTTTTCAGTGTGCAGTGGACTGGTGCCTTAGCTCACATGGGGAGATACACTTGTGTTCAAACCTGTCAGAGGACTCAAACAGGATGGGTGTGATGTGTGGCTGTGCTATCACAATCTCTTCCCAGAGTCAGAAATGCACCTGAGGATCCTGATGCTTAGCATCTCCTGCTTTCTCACAAATACTGGTGGAGCCCACTGATAAAGCGTATGCTATCTCTGTGTGCTTGATCCATATGCAGCAGACTAACTTGCTGTTCCACCTTTTCCACCTTTCCAGTTCCCTGTATTGATAAGACAAAAAGGGTCAGAAGACAGCTTGGGAGCTCATCTAGTCTGATCTCCTCTTCAAGATACAAACACCCCAGACAAAATGCTTAAAATATCTAGTGATGAAGAATCAACAAGCTTTCTACATAATTGATTCCAGTGCTTAATAATCCTCGTAGTTCAAAAATCCTTCCTAATAGCCAACTTTACTGCAGCTTAATCCTCCTTACTACTTACCCTATGTTTTTTGCACAGAGAACAATTGAGTACCATCCTCTTGACAGCATTCCTTTTTGCATGGGAAACTGGTGCCTGCTGATCCCAGGGGGCGGGGGGGGAAGGCACCATGAGCCGAGCGCCAACCGGGGAGGAATCCCCCAGTAGACGATTGGAAGTGCCAGCAGCAAACCCAGAAGTGCTGCTGGTGCTTCTTTTGGCACCCCCACATTCTCAGGGGAGGCACAGGCCATCACCCCCCACTCCCCAGCCAGCGGCAGCCAATCTCAGAGGGGGGACGTGACCCCTCTACGCATCTATTATGCCTTTTTGTGTTTGAAGAGTGGTATCAAATTCACCTATAGTCTCAAATAATCTGAATTCTTCCAACCTTTCCTTGTATGGTATATGTTTTCTAGACCTCTGATACTTTTGTTGCTGTTCTCTGGATTCTTTCCAGTTTGTCCACAATTGTCTTGAACTGTGGTGCCAAAGCTAGACACTGTCTACTGGGTGAGGCCTCAAGAGTACCAAATGGAAAGATGGATTCAGATTGTTTGTCTTGGAAGCAACAATCCTGTTAATATATCCCAGTATCCTATTAGATTTCTTTTTTAACAGTATTCTTTTGTTGATATATATTCAGTTTATGGTCTCCTGTAATCCATTGATCTTTTTCTGCCTAGCCAGTCATTACACTAGTTTGTATTAGCGCATTTAATTGTTCCTTTCTAAGTACAGTAGCTTGCCCATATCCTTAAGTAACTTCAGCCTGTCTATTTCAGACCATCTTCCCCATTTATCAGAGTCCTAACCCTGTCTTCTAAAGTGCCTGCCAACCTATACAACTGACATCATCCACAGTTTTATTAAGTGTACACTTGATACACTCAATTCCATTCTCTAAGTCATTAATGAAGATACTGAATAGTACTAGGCCCAGGATAGACCCCTGGGAAATCCTTCTTGACACAGTCTTCAGTTTGACATTGATCCATTGATGGCTAGTCGGTGAGTTTGATTGTCCAAGCATTTATGCACTGACCTTCACAGTAGTTTCTTTAAAACTGTATTCCCTTAGCTTGCTTATGAGATACCATGAAAACCTGTGTCAAAAGCCTTACTAAAGTCAAGGCATGTTATACCCACTACTTCCCCTGCTATCACTAAGGGCATTCATCTTGTCACAGAAGAAAATTTGGTTGAATAGACATGATTTGCTCTTGACACATCTATGTTGGCTGTTACTTAGTATCTAGGTGCTTGCAAACTAATTGATAATATAATCCAGGATCTTTCCACATCCTACAGTTAGACTGACAGGTCTGTAATTCCTAATCTTCTG